TACATTGCCTTCAGAAATCCTTTATGAAATATTGGCCAAGCAAATTTGGCAACATGTAAAAAGAATAATGCACTTGAGCAAGAGAATTTTTCCTAGGAATGTGAGGCTTATATTTGAAAATCAATCAATATAATCGAGTCTACCATATTGGTGGTATGAAGAAGGGAAACCACATTATTTTATTAATAAAAGTAACTCATTTGATAACATTCAACAGACGTGTATCATTTCAAGAAAGACTGTAAAGCATATGTGGATGCGTGGTATATGGGGGTGGGTCTCCTGGGGAAGCTGCCTCCATGATGCAAGGAATATGGCTTGTCTAGATAGAAGGTCATGAAAAAATCTTAAAAAAAGAAGCCGTTAGGTGGGGTTAGCAACACGCAAGATACGAGGCCAGCATACAAATATCAACCATATTTCTGTGCCCCAGTAATGAACAATTGAACATCAAACAACTGGAGATATAATTTTACTAGCTCTAAGGAATAAAGTGTGAAACAAAAAATGAAAATGAAAGCATATACAAGATTTGTATATTGAAGACTATAAAACATTTATGAAGATATGAAGGGGGGAAGGGACATAAAAAATTAAGATCACCATGGATCAACCCCCCATGATGAATGAAATCGTTACGGATTCCAAATGTGTACTAATAAAAATAAAAAGGGAAAAATGAAATAAATAAAAGATACACTGAATAAATGAAGAGACATGCCATGTTCAAATATTAGCAAAGTGCAGCATAGTAAAAATGTCTTCTTTTTCGCCTAAGTGATCTATAGACTTGATACAGTTCCATCAGAATCGTCGCAGGATCTTTTTGCAGATAAGACAAGCTGATTTCAAACTCTTATGGAAAAATAAATAAGCTATAATAGCCAAGAGAATTTGTTTACTTTTTATTAGATTATAACATATTCAGGCATATTGTTCAACAACGAGGATACATTATTAGAAATGCACTGTTAAACAGTTTCCCATCACGGTGTACACAGAAGCTGAGATGGCCCAGCCCGCTACATATGTAGGCTGTATGTACAGCCTACTGCTCCTATAGCTAAAAGAGCACTCAAAAAGAAAAAGTTGAAAGTATTGCTCTTACTTTATCTCCAGTACCCAAGATAGCACAGTATTGGTGAAGGGATACACAAATCAGTCCACACAAAGAATCCAGAATAGCACAAATATAGCTAAGGAATTTTTAAATTGAAAATTTAATGAGATAATTATAGATTCACATACTGTTATAAGAAATAATACAAAGATCCCCATGTACCTAACTGTAAATTTTTTAAACTGTAGTAAAATAACATCGGTGACATTGACATTGATACAACTCAGTGATTTTATTCAAGTTCTACAGTTTTACGTGTGTGTGTATTTAGCTCTACCCTATTTTATCACATGTGTAGATTCTTGGGTCTGTTACCACAGTGAACAGTTTTTCATTACATGTATCTTTCATATCTGGATGATCCCTTTCCATTTGTTGAAAAAGCTATCCATTCATTCAATTGCTTTTGTACCTTTGTCAAAAATCAGTTGTAAACTTTGTGTAAATCCATTTCAAGATCCCCCATTCTGTTACATCCATCTGTGTGTCTGTCCTTCCAATACTATCACTCTCTGTGAATTTTTGTATCTACAGAGTGAGTCTTTACATCAAGTAGGGTACCTGATTCTTCCTACTTCATTTTTTTTCTCCAAGATTGAGTTAGCCATTCCACAGCCTGTGCCTTTCTATGTAAATCTTCGAGTAATTTTTTTTTTTACTTCTAGAAAATTCTCTTCTAGGATTCTCATAGGAACTGCATTAAAGCTAATGGTCATTTGAGGAGAAATGAAATCCTTGATATATGTTCAATTCTACGTACAAGGTATATCTCATGAATCTAGGTCTTCTTTGAATGCTTTTGTCCACATGTCTTAGTATTAAACACATATCTCACACAAGCACTCAAGACCTGGTGAATTCCCATGTATTTTATGATGTTTATACCTAAGTACATAATTTTCTGTGGAGCAAATATGAATGCTCCAGAATTTGGGAGGTTTGATTTTGCTTTTGATGTGTTCATTCTCTTCTTCTTATGGGATTTTGGTGACACCACTTTTAAACTTTTTCTTGTATAACAGATCTCTAAGGTCTGTTATTTATTTTTTAATTTTTCAGATTAGATACTTATTGTTGTTCTATCCTCGGGACTACTATTATTTCCATTCTGTTGCGAAACCCATTCAAGGAATTGTATTTTTTAAATTATGGTTATAATATTTTTCAAAAAAATCTATTTTTATATCTCCCATTTCTTTTGAGGACTTCTGACTCTCTAGTCAACAATATTTATCCTTCCCTTCTTTCCTTCCTTCCTTCCTTCCTTCCTTCCTTCCTTCCTTCCTTCCTTCCTTCCTTCCTTCCTACCTTTCTTCCTTCGTCCTTGGAACCAAACTCAGGACCTTCCACTTGCCAGGCAAGTACTGTTCCACTGAGCTATATTCCTGGCCCTTTGACCTTATTTATTGGGGTCTCTTGAAAGTTTTCTTTTGATTATCACTTCCCACATGATTTTCTAAGATTTTCTTGGTTCTTTGCATGCTGAGTAATTTTAGGTTTGTAATATTAAAATCTTATATACCCTGTAAATCTTCTCTATGGGTCTGATTTACATTCTATGAATATTCGTGTGTGTGTGTGTGTGTGTGTGTGTGTGTGTGTGTGTGTGTGTTTTAGTATTTAATTGACACAGTTGAGTTCACGCTTTAAATTCCAGCTAGTCTTCTGTAGTTGTCATTGACATTTCTTTGTAGAAAGGTCCTGCATTGCTGTTTGAGTCAGTCTTGCATGCACACCAGCTAGTTTCATGCTTGGGCATTGGGTGAGAGCTCATCTCATGGTTCAATTCTCAGTGATTATGGACATGTTATTTAGTGTTAAAGTATATGCTATGCATATGCCACATGATAGCAGTAGGAAGTCATGGGGTTGCCTGTCTGAGCTCCTTTCCTTTCATGATCACCCTTGTCTTTATGGGTTTCTTCTGTTTTGGTCCTCCAGCCAGGAAACTTTATTTATTCTGTTCATCTACATTTTGCCATACTGCAACTACATGTGCAAACAGTCAGAGGGCTGAGTATGAAGGAGTTGCATCTCATATAGAATCATGCTTCCACCACTGTCACGGAATGCCTTTTGGGCCAGGGTGCACAAGCATGGGGAAGAATAAGAAAAGAACAAACAAAACTGAGGCTTTACTTCTGTCTCCTTCCTGTGTATCAGAAGTGTTTCATCTCAAAGACTGACTGTGTTACTGCTCACTTCCAGTTATCAGGGTGGGTTTTAGCTCAGCATGGGCAAAGAATAAAAGGATAAACTCACCATTATGTCAGTAATAGATCACATTTTGGTATTCCTTGTTTTTCCTGCTACTCTTTACTTTTCAGGATCCACAAACATGTACCTCCTGCTTCCTGTCTAGGTTTTATGGCTGTGTTCAGTGGAAGAAACACTCAACAGTAGACTGTGCTTATTCTATGTTCTTGGAATTAGAACCCATGTCATTGCTTTTTGTTCAGTGCATTAATTGATGAGGGAACCAGTATGATGTAAATAGTGGTTCAAAGGAGAGTTGAGGTACAAGATATTTATATCCAGCATAACTAAGGGCATTGTAAAAAAAAAATACTGAATAAGGTACAGAACTAGATAATGTATAAATTGTAAACTTTGGGTATAGTTTTCCATTGACTAGGCATTATTTTTATCATTTTATAACAAAAATCTACATGTTAACTAGTAATTCTTTAAATTCAGAACTTACAGTTAGTAACAGATAGTATTTTTTTATTTTTACTACTTATGTGTCTTTCAATAAATATTGGGTGAGTCTTTGCTCCTATATTACTTGAAAATTAAATGCATTATTTTATCTTTTCCATGTCTTGGGTAATTTCTCTTAAAAATAGTGTTCTGGATTCTTCTTCTAGAAGGTTGCAACTGATGCAAGATATAATATGGAACTAAGGAGTATGATCAAAAATTACAGTCAACATTACCGTGTTTCTAAAACTTTATTGCCGTAAAAGACACACTGCTACTGATATTTCTGAAAGTGCTCCCTCTAGTATTAAACACTCATCTCATCATTCCTGCCAGTTTCTGAAGCAGTTCTGGAAGTCTCTCTCATGAGTATCCGTAATGGGGCCAGGGAGATGGCTCAGTGGAATAAGTGTTTCCCCGGCAAGCACAAGGGTCTGAGTTCAATCCCCGGTTCTGAAAAAAAAAAAAAAAAAGAGTGTCCATAGTTGCACTGCCGAGGTGTCTTGATGCCCTGAATCAATTAAAAATGTTTTCTTTTCATCAGCATCTTGTCTAAAGAAAAACCAGAAGTTACATGGTGCCAGAGCTGGTGAATAAAGTTGGCGAAGATAGGCCAGTGTTTTAGGAGCCCGCCTTTCCATGGGATGGCTCTCACTGTAATTGTTTAAAATCACAGGTAGTAAAGACACTTGTGAAAGAAAACTTCCAGAACTGCTTCAAAAAGTTACAAGAGTGACGGGGAGATGTGTTCAAACGCAAAGGGAATATTTTGGGGATTAATAGCAGTGTGTCTTACAATAAGAATTTTTTAAAATTTAAGCATTCACTGTATATTTTTATGGCATCTTAAACTCTCTAAGAAGGCATATTAGTGTTTTCAATTCAATAAATACTTACTTTATGACTTTATTTGGCAGATGCCTTGTTAGGCAATGGTGAAAATACCCAATATAGAATATTTATAATGTCAATTACTAGCATAGTAATCTTTGCAAAATTAGTTTCTCTGGTATAATATAAATTCTAAAAATGAATATTTCAAAATTATGAATAGTATGATTATTGAAGTGTAAAATACCGTATTCCTGTGATTCTCTTCAGATTTACTTAGAGTATCGTTAGCATTTGCCTATTTGTTTAGCAGAAGGTGTGATTTTGATTGTTATTCACTCTCAAGGAAAGGCAGAGGGAAAAGGGAAGAGGAGAAAATGAGAGAGGAGAAAGAGGTCCTCGCAACACCAAAGCTGGCTGGAGAAGGTGGCCCTGAGAAAGAATGGTACCCTCCCCCTGACCCTGGCTTCTGCATATATGTGTATGAAGTGACCAAGTCAATCCTGCCCATGACCAATATTAAGGAGCAGATTGAGGCTCTGGCCAAGTAAGTTCTCTCTGTGGACATACACATTTTTATTTATTTATTTTTATTCATACATGTTTGTAGCACCTAATGTTTGCATTCCTTTTGGGAAGTTGGTAGATTACAAACTACATCTTAATTCCTTTTTCATTCCCTTCCCTTCCCTGTCTCTCTCCCTCCCTTAATCTCTTGATCCTCTTGCCTTTTGAGAAGGATCTGTCCTCTTCCTATTATCTACCCTTTATTTTATTTACATTTTGGGTTTCTTATGTAAGAGAAATCATATGGTAATATAAGTTTGTGTGCCTGGTCTACTTCACTTACCATTATGGTCTCAAAGTGCCTCCATTGTCCCACTCAAGCTTGTCTTTCTTTATGGCAGAGTAGTAGTCCATTGAGTGTAAATGCCACATTTTCCTTATTCACCCATTCATCTTTTGATGGACATATAAGCTGCTTCCAAGGTTTAGCTAATGATTGTGCTGCTATAAACGTGGAGCGGCATGTGTTACTGTTATATGATGTCTTTTACTTATTTGGGAAAGATACTAGAAGAGGAATAACTGGATCAAATAGGATTTTTGATCCCAGATTTTAAGGAATGTTCATATGATTTCCATAGTGGTTTGCTAGCTTACATTTCCACCAACAATGGAAAGAGTTCCTCTTTCCTGTAGCCTTTCTCATTTGTTGTTATTTGATTTCTTGATGATGGCAATTCTTTCTGGAGTAAGATGAAATCTCAGTATTGTTTTCATTTGCCTTTCTCTAATGGCCAGAAATGTTGAACGTTTATGTATTTCTTGGCTATTTGTAGTATTCCTGTGAAATATCTCCTTATTTTACTTTCCCGTGTTTTGACTGGGTCTTTTATTTTGGAGGTTGTTATTCTTTTGAGTTCTTTATGTGTTCTACATATTAGTTTTGTATGTGAGGAACAGCTGGTAAGGACTTTTTTCCTCATTCTGTTGGTTGTCTTCTCACTTGGCTGTTGTTTCTTTCTGTGCAGAAGGTTTTTTATTTAATATAATCCCATTTGTTGGTTCTCGGTAACATTTTCCGTGTAACTGCTGTTCTGTGCAGAGATTAAGGTTAAGTGTTTCTGTTTGAACATTTAGTTTTCCAATCCATTTTGATTTTATTTTAGTCCATGGTAAGAGATAGAGATCTAGATTCAGTCTTCTGCATGTGGAGAGCCAGTTGTTCCTATTTATTAAGGAAGCTATCTTCCTTTTGTCAGTTTTCTTTTTTTAGCCAATTTTTGAGAAATCCACCACAATAAAATTGAACTTTACAGTGTCCTAGCTTCAACTCTGAGTCAGAAACATAATGAATTGATAAGGACCTCAGCGTGCATGCTAGCTCACTTTTCCATGAAGAATTGGAGCTAAGAGCTAGAAATTACTGAGAAAAAAGCCTGTTATGTTCTCCAGCCAAATCATCCAAAACATCTTTCAGTGTTCTTTTAGAGGAGTTATGAGTCAAAAATTTGTGAATTAAATCACTCCTTAAGTGCATGAAGTGATCATAATGTTAAAAAAAATCATAACATGATTTATAAATTCACAAAAAAAATTTAGTGCAAATAAACATCCCCTCTTTTTCGGTTAGCTGGCTGGTATTCTTGTGCTCTGCCTTGCCCTTGTGTGGAGGGTGACAGTTCTCATAGCTGGCTGCTGGGCCAGGTAGGAGCCGTGGCGGTGTCCTCTTCTACAGTGCAACAGCTGCTTCTGCTAGGAGCACACCTAGCGACGGAAGGTTGCTCCTGCACTGTCGGAGTGAGGGAGACACCAGCTCAGTCTCCCTGGCAGTCTGTATGTCCTCCGAGCAGAAGGCAGCAGCAGTCGTTAGACTTGGATATGACGATAAGTGTCACCGCTGACAGATCATTGACTGGACAAGAGCACTTTTGGTGACTGAAGTTTTTCTACTGCCCCCTAGCAGTGGTCTTTGAGTCAGCTCCTGAACACATTTGTCAAATTCCCACACACTTCCTTCATCCGAGAGGTACTTTTTACCCCTCCCAAATGATCATCTCCTTTAACCTGGGCTGGAAACAGGCCGGGAAGAGAGACGGAGGGGCGAGAGGCAGAGGACAGGCCCCCGCCTCTGCTTCCCCGATGCCAGCCACACACCCAGGTTGCGCAGGGCTCAGCCCACTCTGCAGCCCTCTCCTCCACTCACTTCTTCCTTTGGTTTTTACCACTGACTTCAGAGCAGCTGGAGGAAATTCTTTAAAGTACAGGCTGCTTAGTGGCCAGAGGATTCCTGCAGATATGCTTATTAAAGCCCTTGGTGAGAGCTCACTATTAGGAAAGTTTCTCACCTCCTTCACTACCCAGCAAACAGCTTTTTGTCTCTTGCTCCTTCTCTTCCTTTCTCCCTCCAGTCCTATGGAATGTTATGGGTGCGGTGGCGAGTAGCTGTACTCAGTACTTGGGGGTAGGGCTGAGGCACAAAGGTTACTGTGAGTTTGAGGCCATCCTGAATTACATAGCAAGACTGTGTCAAAAAAGATTAAAATAAAATTATACAACTTGAAAATGCCTGTGAAATCAGTGGGAGATATTTGTATTATGTCAGAATTTAAATTCCTTGAAGAACCACTCATGTTAATACGATGCATTGGATTTCATATTAAGACATTTAAAAATAGCTTTTTGAAAAATACTTTTTAAGAGTAAGATAAATTTTAAAATTATGTTCATATTTAGTGTGATATTGATTTGTATCTTTTGTATCTTGCTATACACATTGGGAAATTAGTGTTCACTTTCACCTTCACATTGAATGAAATTGTTAGAATTTCAGCTTACCTATAAATATGACAGTTTGAAAAGAATAAGCA